TCCTTCAGTACTGTTAAGAGTCATGGACTTTCGTCAGCATTTATCAGATTCCCTGAATGAAATAACTGAATATATACAAGATGGCGGAAATCGTGGAGGTGATTCAGAGAATACTGTTTTAAGACTGGAGGTTCTTTACGAGGCAGCGTTGATCAATGGGGACATTCCTTTAGATGCGGTTGACTTAATCAATCAAGCTCGTACACACCTGAACGTAAACTTGCATCAACAAGAGCCTTTTCGTGGGTATGAAGCACCAGCAGTGAGTGAGGCAGGTCGTCGAGGAAGACCTAAGTTTGCGATTTCCGAGAAGCAGCTGCTATTTTTCAGAGGTAAGGAGGAAAAAGTGCTTTTCCCATTTTCAGGTTGAAAATCTGAAATGAAAATAAGGTAGACACATTTGAAACTATCCATATATGCCCCATATGAAGTGAGTGCTTTTTTTTCCGAGTTGATAGGTTTCGCCAAACCACGTTTTTTGGTTATTCATAACATCTTTAGTGAGCTCACCTTTTGAAGGTGTAAACTATCTACTCTCAAAGGAGTGTGTTTTCTTCTATGAACACTAGTTATCTTTTTATTAGAGAACAACTTCACGTATAAAGACATGGCTCTAATGCTTGGGGTTAGCAAGCGAACTATTGAAAACCGTATGGCCGAGTACGAGTTGACGAACAAGTCCCTCTACAGTGACATAGAGGACGATTTCCTGGATTCTTTAATCCAGCGTATCATGACAAATTTCCCTAGATCGGGTAAGTAAGTTTTCATAGAAATTTTGAGGCTGTGGCCGGTCATGTTCAGTCAAAAAATAAAGATTTTTTTGCCCTTAGCTTGGTAAAAATAGTTTGAGAACCAGTACATAATGACGCAACAATTTATTCCTCTGGAACTAGACATGATAAACATCTGAATCGGGAAATTTTCTCGTTTGCCTTTATGTCTTTCAGATTGCATAAATTAATTAAACCTTTTCGGCCGATACGCGTTATTGCTTGAACACCTCAAGAAACGTAGACATTATCACACTTAGCAAACGCAAACATGCTTCTTTTAGTATAGACGTACACTCGAGACCGTTTCTGAAAATC